AAAAAAAAAAAAAAAAAGAGGACAAAGCAAACAAAGAAAGCAAAGGAAAAGAAAAGAAAAAAAAAAATGACATCTGGTCTTTCCTCCTCCAAAGGTGTATTGGCGCTACTAAGAGAGTCAGACCCTGATGTACTTCGTTTTGCCCTCAAACGATTGGTACAGTTGGTGGACACCTATTGGTATGAGATCAGCTCCGATCTTCCACTCATTGAAGAACTGCATGAGTCAAGTGATTTGGAGAAAAACACCCAAATGCTCGCCGCCCTGGTGGCTTCACAAGTTTACTTTCATCTCGGTGCATATAGTGAATCTGTACACTTTGCCCTCGCAGCGGGATCCGCATTCAATTACACAGAACGTTCCATCTACACAGATACCATTCTCAGTTGCTGCATTGATCAGTTTGTGCACTATCAGGAACAACCAGAGGAAACACGTGGGGAACTTGACCCCCGTTTGGAAGATCTTTTCACCGCATTGACAAATAAATGGATATTGCAAGAAGATACTCCAGTAAAGGAATTGGTTGGATTTACTATTCGTGCAAGACGAATTGATTTCCTTGAAAAAGTATTACGACAGCATATTGCTGCTACCAAGTCTGCTGTTATTTTAAATTTTACCTTTGATGTGGCTAATGTTTTGCTTCGTGATATAGTCTTCAGACGAAAGATATTACGTCTATTGGTAGATCTTTATGCTCAGGAAGATTTAAGTACGATTGATTATTTCTCTCGTGCACAATGTCTTTTGTTTCTTGGTGATTCTCAGTCTACGGCAAACTTAATGAATAGTCTTATTTACGCAGGTGATAAAGCAACAGCTTATCAACTTGCTTTTGACTTGTATGAATATGGAAATCAAGAATTTTTAACTGCAGTTTCTATGGAAATCAGTAATATGGGAGAAAAGGCAGTAGAATTACAATCAACTACTGGAGGAGATACTACTTCTACATCACTGGAAATTAAACAAGAAGAAGTTTCTAAAGTTGAAGTAGGTACAGTAGGTAAAAAATATTCTGTTGTACATAAAAATATTCTTCTTATTCTGGCAGGTGGAACTTCAACGACATTTTATTATAAATTCTTGTATACTCATTGTAATGCAGATATTCATGTTCTCAATCGTATTAAGCAATCTATTGACTCCAAAAAGGCTGTGCCACATAATGCCACAGTGATTGCTCATGCTCTTATGTATTGTGGAACTACAATTGATGCATTCCTTCGAGGAAATATGGAATGGTTAGGTAGAGCTAACTATTGGGCAAAATTTATTGTGACTGCTTCTATTGGTGTTATTCATCGTGGTCATATCACGGATTCTCTTGCTCTTGTGGATCAATATTTACCAAATAATAATATGGGTCCTTTACCTTATCAAGAAGCTGGAGCATTATATGCTTTGGGTTTAATTCATGCTCCTGTTGGAGTGGCATGTAATCGTAAAACGATTGAATTTTTAAAAGATACAATGCGAAAATACAGTGCAAGTGAACAAATTATTCATGGAGCTTCATTAGGTATTGGTCTTGCAGCTATGGGATTAAAGGATGAATCACTTTATGATTCTCTTTTCACTTGTGTAAGTGGTTGTGATGCTGTTGGAAGTGAAGGTGCAGCTCTTGGTATTGGCTTGGTTATGATGGGTAGTGGTAACCTTCAAGCAATTCAAGATATGAGAGCATTGGCATCTGAAGATAATCAAAAAGAAAAAACTATTCGAGGTATATCTATGGCTATGGCTCTTATGATGCTTGGTCGTGAAGATGAGTGCTGGACCCTAGCCAATGAACTTCTTGATAATTCAGATCCATGGGTACGTTTAGGTGGTTGTTTTATGCTGGGTTTGGGATATGCTGGGGCGGAAAACAGTAAAGTAATTGAACGTTTACTCAGTGTAACCGTAAAAGATACCTCTGATGATGTTCGACGTAATGCAGCTACTATGATTGGATTTCTTACTATTAAAGATCCTGTACTTTGTCTGGAACTTGTTCGAGTTTTGGTGGATAGTTACAATCCACATATACGTTATGGTGTTGGAATGGCATTAGCAGTATCAGCTGCAGGTACAGGTAATGCTGAAGTCATTGAAGTTTTATGGGGATTAACAGAAGATCTTGTGGATTTTGTACGTCAAGGAGCTTATATCGCTCTTGCTATTGTTATGGTACAAGTTACAGAAGCAGAAAATCCTAAAGTAAAGGAATTACGTGATAATTACTTTAAACGAATTTCTGGACGTAAAGAAGATATGTGTTCTAAATTTGGATGTATTATTGCCTCTGGTATTTTAGATGCGGGAGGACGTAATTGTACATTTGCCTTACATCGTCAACGTCATCGCTTGGATAAGGCAGTGGTAGGAATGTTTGTATTCCTACAGTATTGGTATTGGTTCCCTTATATTCTTATGATTTCCTTATCTATGCAACCAACCTGTTTTATTGGACTAAATGATAAACTGGAGCTCCCTGAGTACAGTTTTAAGTCTAATGCACCTCCGAGTCGATTTGCTCTTCCTAAGAGTATTCTCGCAGAGAAGAAGGAGGCGAAAGCGACATCCGTCAAGGCGGTTGTTCTCTCTACAACAAAGAAGGAGGAACAATTTAATCGACTCAAGCGAATGAGTACCGCCTGTAAGGCAGGTGAAACAGAATCCTCAAATAAAACTCAACCAAAGACAGAGAAAACAGAGAAAGCAGCATCAGCAGCAGCGGCAGAAACTGCAACAGCGACAACAGCAGCAGCACCAGCAGCAACAGAAACAACAACAACAACAACAACAGTAAAAGAAGAAGGAGGAAATACAACAGAAGTGGCTCAAAAAGAGACAGAGGTAGAAAAGAAAGAAGAACCAGAACCAAATATGGTGATTCTAACAAATCCATCTCGTGTAACAGCCCGACAACTGGCAGTGGTATCACATGATTACGATAATCGCTTTGTTCCACTTAAGCCGAATCCGTATGGAGTTTGTCTGTTGCGAGATACCAAGCCGACGGAGGGTTCACAGAGGATTATCACTGATTTGGGATGGAACTGCGGCGACGAAGCACCACCACCAGAGCCATTTGCATGGCCTTAAGAAAGAAAATGAGAGAGAGAGGGAGAGATAAGAAAAAGAAAAAAGCATGTGTATTTGTGTGAAAAGAAGGAAGAAAGAAGAGGAGGGTAATGGTATAAGAACAGCAGCAAGGGTGCAACGAGAAGAAAAGAGGAAAGTGAGAAAAATAATGGGAGGCTATGTAAAAATGAGGCGATTTCGTGAGGGTTTGTATTTAACCTTGGTTCGATTTATAATATCTACTTATAGCTCTTAAGAAGAGCGTGTGAGAATATAAAAAAGAAGAAAAAAAGATCAGGGTATGTGCGTGTGTGTCTTTATCCACCCATTTGTTTTCTCACTGTTTCTTCTTTTCTATCTATTTGTTTATCTGCTTATTCCTCATTTTTCTTTTTTGCCTTTCTTTGTATGTGTGGGGCGTGCAAAATTAGCACGTGTCTGTGTTTCTATGTGTTTGTGTGGGTTTTGTGTGTTGTAATAAGAATGTTGCAACAGCGGTTACACGAGAAAGAAAAATGAAAAAAGAAAAAAATATATATATATGAGAAGTGCAAAAAAAAAAACAAGAAAAGAGAGAGACATCACGATTTGGTGATAGGATGGAGTGTTTGTGTATCTAGCATTTGATCACGATAATACCTCCAATGTGATAACAACCTCTCTTTTTTGTTTTCTTCCTATTACCCTATTATTATATGAAAAGATGTATTATCTTTTTTTAATTGGTTATGTGTGTATATTTTTCTTCCCTTTCTATCTATCTATCTATATATATATAACAGATTAAAAAAAATAAATTCTCTTTTCCTTGTGTTACGAGCAAATTATTAGCGATGCTTTTACAGTTCAATTGGGAACGTCTAGACATTACCGCCGCTGAGGCCATTCGTGCATTAGTGAATACAAAATTAGAGGAGGAACTCCAACAACGCCGTGAAGCCGCCAACTCCACAACCCCCAACAAGGGAGGAACTCCTAACAATACTACTACTACTACTAATAATAATAATAATAATAATAATAATAATAATAATAATAATGCTAGTAGTAGTACAGGTAATAGTGGAGGAGGAGGTTGTGTGGAGTCTCTGTGTGTGACGAGTGTGGAGTGGGGCAACACACCGCCGTTTGTGGAGGTTGTGGCGATTGACGACGCGATGGACTTCAGCCACGCGAACTCCACATCGCACGACCCGCTGAGTTCCCTCCACGGCGGCGACGGCGGCAGCGAGGCGGACTCCACCGGCTGCTCCCCGCCGGCCTCCCTCTCCTCCACAACCACCGGCGGGGGGGCCGCGGGGAAGTGGACTGGGGGAGGAGCCGGAGGGGGAGCGGGAGGAGTTGGGGGGCGCGGGAACTCCAACGGCGGCGGGGGGCCGCGGGGGAATCCGGCCGCCGCCTCCACCTCCTCCACGACGACCACCACCACCACCCCCGGGGCGGCAGGAGGAATAGGAACAACAACAACAACAACTGGAGGAGGAGGAGGAGGGAAAGATCGATTGGCGCCTTATGTGGGGCCCGGGGGACTTTATGTCTCATTACATGTGACCTACGGAGGGTCTATGCGGTTGTCGGTGTCGTCGGTATTGCGGTATGATATCCCGCTTGGTCCTTTGGCTGTTCTGCCGGTACGTATGCCAATAACACTTCAATTCTCTAAAATGGATATGGACTTTTATCTTTGTGTAAATATTCATCAGAATACGTGTCGTATATGGATGGAACCAGGGAAACTCTCAACTTCACCAATAACGCGAATGAATGTTATGGCAGTCTTTGGTGAACGTCGGAATCATTCCTGGCGGTCATCAGAATCGGTAGCTGGACTGCCTTTGACAACTGATGATTTTGAAGTATCAGATGATTGTTCACATGTGGATAGTAGTCATAATGGGTCAGAAGAAGATGAAGATGCTGTTTTTATGGATGAAAGTGCCATTTCACAGTTTGTTTTAAGCGAAATACGAGCGGTGTTGCAAGATAAAATTCTTTATCCACACTTTGTAGTGATACCTTTGGCTGTATGAAAGACAAAGAAAAAAAAAATTATATTGTTGTGAATAATAAATGCTTTTTTTTCTCTTTTATTTTTATTTTAGTGTTTCCACTCTTTTTTTTTTTCTTTCTTTTTATTCGTGTATATTTGGAGTATATACATCGTTATATGCTATTCCACTATTAACTTTGTGTTTCTCTTTCTCTATAATACCTTTATTGTTTTTTTTATTATTATTATTCTTTTGGGAATGTATGTATGTACTTCTTTTTTTTTTCGTTTTTGTTGTTATTCTTGTTTGTTTTTCTCTCTTTTTGCGTTTCTATTTTTGACCCGTGTAATTTTGTATTTACACGTATTTACAAACTTATTTCTTTATAGGTGTACTTCTGCCAACAAGACGGAAAGCTGTTGCAGAGAAACAAATCACCAATCACTACTAGTAGGTTTAGGAAAGCCTTCAGAAAAGAAAAAAAAAAAGAAACAAGAGGTAGTTGAATATTGGTAAAAGAGGGTATTTGGTTTTGTTTTCTTTCTGTAAAAGATATTTTGATCAATACAAGAAGAATGTCAGAGAAATCATCACCGCCGAAAGAATCTATTCTTTCGGTTTCACACCTCCGTTCACTGCCTTCATCAATCAAAAGAAGCAGGAGTGTAAAATCGCAGAATTTCCCTGCAGAGACTGTAACAGTTCACTCTGACTCCAGTGAAATGAAAAGTAACGTACAAGCGAGTAGCGGCAAAAGTGCGGCATCTCGTAGAATCACACAATTCACAACTTTAGATGCCTTTGGATTATCTCCGGAAGTGGAAATGACCCCGCGTACACCCAAAAGTGAACCGAAAAAGACAACTATTCATAAAAACTCTAATAACAGTTCTCTTGAAGCAGCAGCTCTACGTCGTTTAAATGCTATACGTATGAAAATCAAAATGGCCAATGCTATTGTTCAGAATGCAGTACAAAATGCCAAAGTTCCAATGACACCAGAGGAACGCAAAAGAGAAATGCTTCAAATAGAAGCAGCAAAACTTATTGTATTTGTTGGTAGACAGTTTAATATTCGAGAGGAATTACAGAATGTTCTTGGGAATGCATTTGATGATAGAGATGGCCTTGGACAATATCGCAACACTAGCACAAGTGATCTTCCATTTGTTACTAGAGAAGCTCCACCTGATTTGTCTTTGAAAGAATTAAGACGAGTGACTGCTGAGATGGAAACGGTATTAGAACAAGAGAAGGTGAAGAGGGGTAAAACCGGGAAAGAACCACAACTTACAGCAAATAAAGTAAATTCAAACCTCTCAGAAATTCTTTGGATTATTGAATCATTAGAACTGGAAATGCCGGCTTCACAGTACTCAGATTTGGAAGAAGAAATAACAGCCACATCTCTTACCAGTACCAAAAGCAGTAGCCCAATGAGTCAAATGCTCAAACAACGAGAAGAACAAAAACAAGAAGAAAAACAACAAAAACAACAACAACAACAACAACAACAACAACAACAACAGCAGCAGCAGGAACAACAACAACAACTGCAGTCATCATTATCTCAGAAGAAAATAGTGGCGGAAGTTTTACAAAAGAGGAAATCCCTGAGCCCATTAACATCAGATGTGGCGCGTATGAGTACTTTTAATGGCAGTTCACAAACAAGCGCTGGGGATTCACAAACAAGTAGTGATAAGGAAGATAGAATGGTTGCTTTTTCTGTGGATAACGAATCTGTTGGTTGTGCTATACCAGAGGTTGCTGAATTAAAACTGCTTCAATTCATGTATGATGCCATCACTCAGGGTGGTGGATATCCAGGAATTCATGCTGATAAGGATGATGAGAGTAATCTTCAGTATTCTCAAGCAAAAGAATTACAAGGAAACACTTCCCTTGATTCCGCAGCTATTTTACCACGCTCTCCAGGAAAAAGTGGTCCTCATAAATCTCCTCATTTAGCAAAGCGAATGCCTACAAAAACTCCTTATCGGATACCATGGACCGAAACAGGTGTGTTAAAGTCTATAGTTATGGATTTAGATGACGAATCAGAGCGGAAAGAAGAAGACGAAGAAGAAGAGGAAGAAGAAGAAGAAATGAGGCGTGCTCGCAGTGATAGAACAGGAGGCACATCGGCAAATCGATTATCAATGTCTACAATGCAGTCAACTGCACCAGACATGCCATCATTCGCATCATGGATGCGACCGGCACCTCCCTCTGTGCGTGTGCATCCCATGCGTGCCGATCTTATTGAAATCCTGCAGAAACTCTATGAAAATTTTAACTATAATCAACACTTTCGAGAGTTTCGAACACCAAAGGATGGTACTGTAGGGAAGTCTCAGGAGGAATATGCGGAAGAGATAAGAAAACGGTTAGATCAACAAAAAAATGAAAGACGACAACGTGCTGAAAAAAAAGATGAAGAAGATGACATTGTTGCTAATTGGAGAGGAAAAAGTCCATCTTTAACAGAATCTGAACTCATGCGGAAGCGGTCTAGTATGAGAAAGCGTGTAAGTATTTTGGATGAACCTGAATGTGCTCCATCGGTTGTAGAGAAAGAACCATCACCACCAACACCAGAAGAACTACCGGTTCGTAGAACTCCAACTCCTTTACCCACTGAAATTTATGATGAAACAATTCTCTTATCTGTGGAGCTGGGTGAGGGATTACTATTTGTGATGAAGGGACGAAAAAAAAGTCCAGAACTTCAAGTAAAACGGAAGAAACGAGGTAGTTCTGTAGTTGCAGAAGAACGAAAAAAAAAGGGTGGAAGAGACAGAAATAGTATTACAAATAATAATAGTAGAAGTAGTCTAGGTGGAGATAAAAGTAAGAATGAGAAGGATAGACCAGGATCAGTATCAACGCGATCTGTGGAGGCAGGTGCAACGAAAAGCGAACCTGATTTTGATAGCTATACACTGTATGCTATGAATCAATCTGACAAGCCTGTATCTGGTATTGTTAATATTGATGTGAAAAAAATTCAAAATTTAAAGCTTAGGGCTCTTCTTGATTACACTGTAGCGAAAAAAGTTATCACTGTGAAATTACCTCCACATAACAGTCAAGCAGTATTAACACTTCAACCTATTAAGAAAGGAAAGGGAGTATTATTCAAAGATGCGTTGAGTTTTGAAGAAGAAGAAGAAGAAAAACCACAAACTGAGCAACAACAGGTATCTAAAGGTGCTGATAAAGGAAATCTTTTAAAGACACGTTCAACAAAAAAAAGTTCCTTACAAAGTACGGCGTCAAATGTAACGTCAACAGGAACTTTTCAGTCAACTTCTTCCCCTGTTTCTCGTTCAGGAGCAGAAGGTGTAGCGGAAGGATTGCCGGAAGGGATAAAAGTTTCTGCTGCAGCAATTCTAGAAAAAGATGATCGTATAGCTGATACTTCTGCTTCTGCTGTTGATTCTACTGGAAATAAATCAAGGAGGTCAGATGCTCAAATGAGTAAGGTCCCTTCAGGAAAGAATATCTCTGACGCCAAGGAAGGAGAGGTAAAGAATGATGATGATGATGAAGATAATGATTACGGTCTTGGTGAGATGAAAAAGAATAAAAGTACTTATAGGAAGGGTTCAGTTAACTTACCATTCCCTGGAAATATTGGCTCTGAGTTAAAATGGGATAATGTAGCGGGTGAAAGAACTCAGGAGGATGGAAATTTTAATGATGATCTTTTCTCAGAGGATGATGAAGCGAAAGGTGAACATGGTTCATGGAATATCAACAACATTCCAGAATCTGAAGAAGGTGGAGAAGGAAAGGAAAGGAAAGGAAAATCAAAGCCACAGAGTGGAAAGATAATCTCATCAAGAGGTGAACTTGAATATGTGAATTTGAATAATCAGGGAAGAATGCCAGAAGGAAAGGAAATGGGTATGAAATATGCAGGTAAAGGTGATACAGGTCACGGCATTTTTACTGATGATCAGACGGGTGGTGGTTCACCAACGTTAACACCTGTAAGTGAATGGGGAAAACCTCTTAAGGATCCAAATGAAGAGGCACTTGAAAGGGAACGTGTAATGCTCTCTGTGTTAAACTCTTCTGCTTGGACTTCTGATGCTCCTAATGCTGCAGCAAGAGCTACTGGACGTACAAGTGAGGATGAAAAGATGGATGCTGTTGTAGATGAAGCTCTTAAAGACTCTGGTTCCACTACTCCTTCACAACGGTATCCAAGTGGACGTCCTGGCAGCAAACACCAAGGTGCTGAACAAGTTGTAGCCAACTTCCTTCATCATATGGCAGAAGAAGACCAATTAGGTCAAGGATATATTCAAGGTGATGAAGATATGGATAATATGCTTTCTTCTCTTGATGCTGGTGATCCTTCCTTGCGTGTTAAGTCTGCCGCCGCTCAGCGAAATCAAATGCAAACTCAAGGGGAAAATATTGGAGATTTTCCTCTTTTGGATTTGCACCAGCAAGAAGGAAGTCAAGAATGGCAACAAGCCTCTCGATTAACTTCTGCAGCAGATAAAAAAATGAAATCTGGTGGTGGTGGTGGTGATTTATCTTCTTCTAATACTAAATATCATTCCTCTACATCAGGGAAAGGACTGTCGAATGAAGAAATGCAAGCAAGACTTTCATATAGACAAACTTCAGATGGACATCCTTATTCTAATGATACTTTAGGTGCTTCTGGTACTCCTGGTACTTCTGGTGTTTTCTGTGAGGCTTGCGCTGGAACCTTTCACCATGCCTCCGATTCTACTCACAGAAAAGGTAGTGATAGTGCTACTGAAATTACTCGACATTCTTCACAAGTTACATCAGCTATGCATCGGAAGAGTAGAAAAGGGAGTATGAGTGTAATAACAGATTTTGAAGAAGGTCAAGAAAAGAATATGAGTACAAGAGTACCAGATGAAAAGTCCTCTGTTGTCATGCAATCACGTTTAGCATATGAAATGAGTCTTGCACAACAACAAGCACAACAACATGCACTGCAACAATATCAATTACAGAGACAATCAAAGACAGCAGTAGCAACTAGAGAAGAACGTGAACAAGCTATTATGAAAGAAGAAGAACTAGTGTCACCAGGTCGAATGCGTGTATATACAGAAACACGTCCAGGTGGCCGAGTTGCTCTCCTTGTGCCTGAGAAAATGGACACTGTTCCAGTTCCATCCTCCACTGATATCCCAGGGGCAAAAACTGTTAATAAAATGCCGGTATCAGAACCCAAAAAATCGGAATTAACTCCTGTTGAAATGTTTGCAAAAGGTATTCGAAGCTCCCTACATAGTAATGCACGTCAGGTTATTGCACATGGTGGTGGCAATAACACTTCTAATCGTGAATTCATTTACCGTCGAACAAGTGAAAAGGCTTCAAGAAGGAAAAGTGTTGATGGCGTCCGTTATGCCGCACTTCCCCCACTTTCTGTTCTCTACGCACCTGATGCAGTTCGGGAGGTAGATGATGTGGAAGCTGCAGAGGAGGAGGCACGAAATCTCTTTATGCGTGATCCTGCAAGGTACGACTGTGTTGTGGATGATCTCGTAGCCCGTGCTTTGGAGAAAGTCCGGGAAGAAGAGGAAAAGGAACGAATGGCACGAGCCCAAAATGTATTATTCATCCAACGAATCCTCCCCTCCGCTGCTGGTGCCCCGCACAGAGCTGTTGGAGCCCGCGCCTCCTCCTCCACCCACATTTGCATTGAACTCGACACGCATCTCGAGCAGCAGCGGCGGGCGCGGCGGGTCATTGCGTACATTCTTCTCGAGATGCGGCGGATGTGGCGGCGGCGCGAGATGGAGGCGAATGTCGCGCTGCGGAGTGCCGTCGATCTTCAGATCCGCCGGGCCCGCCGCCTCGCCTGGCGGGTGGAGCGGCGGCGGGTGTTGGGCCTCCGCGCGGTGCTGAACGCCCTCGACCGGGCGACCGGCCGGCGCCGCGGGTGGATCCCGCCGATCCCGCCGACCGCCGCCCACAACCGCCACCCCGCCGGCTGGAGGGACGAGGACGGCGACGGCGTCGTGCTGGAGGAGTGGGAGCGCTGGCCGTGGCGCCCGCCCATGTCCCTCGCCAGGCCGCAGCGCATGCTGCCCATTCAGGTGGTGCGGCAGACCCCCGCCTACAGCCCCTCGCCACTCTACCAACACGTGGAGGAACCACAGCAACAACATGTGCTGTTCGGATACAAACGGACAATGCTGGAGCCGTACATGTCACCGGCCGTGCGCATGCGATATGAGCGTCGCACACGACACGTGGCACCGTTTCAGAGACCCACGAAGAAGTTTTCACCACATGAGGAGTGGTTGGATGGAACACCAAAAATATAAGGGAGAAAAGAAAAAAAAAAAAAGAAAAAGAAAAAAGAGTGGAACTCATGTTCTTTGAGTTGCTTTTTTTTTGTTTTTTTTTTTTGTACCTGTTGCTTTTATTATTATTATTATTGTTATTATTATTATTGTGTTTGCTATCATTCTCTATGTTTGTTTGTTTGTTTTTTTACATTGTTTCTTTTTTCTCTACATATATATGACGGTGAGAAATGTTGACGATGGTGTGCCGCGTCTTTGTATGCAAATGTAACCTGCTGTACTATTGTAACAATAGTAATATATTACGTATGTAAACAAAATGAAACAATAGTGCCCTTTTTTAAAAAAATATATACATATATATATTTTTAGCTCTTCGCAGTTTATCTTTTCAAACAGTGAATTACATGTACCCTTGAATTTTGGAAATTTGATTTTTAGTCCCTTCTTATTTTTAGAATGAGATTTTCTTTTTTTTCCTTTCCTTTTCTTTTGAAAGATGTCATTTTATGCTCTGTATGTCTCTTTCTTTCTTTCTTTATTTATTTATTCGTGCTAGGTTTGTAGGATACATTCTATTTCCCTCCCCCTCCTTACATAACCATAGCAGTAGAAACAAAAAGAAGAAAAGAAATGATAATAACATCAACAAAAACAACAACTAGAAGAGTAGATATGGGAAGAACCAGAAGAAGAATAGTAGTGAAAATATTATTTCTTTTAGTTTTATTGCCTTTTATACACGCACCACTTTGTTACGGTTTGTCTGATGGCAGTGATACCAGTTCATCACAGGATGATAGTAGTTTCGGGGTCTTGACCCCAACACGCACAACCCGTACTCTAACCATAACGCCAACGGAATCTCTCTTTACTCCTACTTTAACTACGACAGAGACTGTTTCTCCCACATATTCTCCAACAATTTCATTAACACATACACCTTCTATTCTCATATCTGGTACACAAACAGTACGGTATTCACCAACCATTTCACCCACTCTTTCACTTACTCCATCATTAGAGGAGGTACCTGATAATATGTATACTCGAGCAGAAAGTTGTGGAATTCAATCAATAAATCAGTGTGCAGAACGATTTTGTAATTGTATAACTAAATCGCCATATAGAGAAAATAGTTCTTTATGGCATCCTGGAAATGGCGTCTACCGATGTGATGAGGAAGCAAATAGAAACTGTTACTATATTCAGTATTGTGTGCGTGAACGAGTTTCATGTATATGGAATGCTTCTTTTGAATATCATAAGAATCCTTCTCGTATGGAACCTTATCGTTATCCTCTGGAAATATTTGGGAACACGGGGGACGCTGATAATGATGGTATATGCCATGGAATGGAACATATTTACGGTAATTTTAGTCAACTTTCATCAGATGTAAGTTACTATGATTCTTTATTTTATAGTGAATGTGTAGATTACGTGACATATATTTTAAAAAGAACGGCTGGACTCCTTTGTATTCCGAAAGCGGTCCCCATGTATTCATGTGGTCCATCATTGTTTCCAGTCGCACCTACACGATTTAGTAATTACACTTCTATTCCAAAAGGTTCACGTAGACTTGTGATTTCTATTAGAGCACGTATTGTTGGTGATTATGCTGCCTTCTTCAATGAGTCTGAAACCATACAAGGTAAGGCTTCTGAATACTGGTTAAGTGAATTAAACAGTGGTATGTATAAATCCTTTCATAACGCCATTGGTGTTGATGGAGAGTTTGCCATGGAATACTCAGATGAGTGTATTACTGTACATTACAACGTTGGAGTGGGAGATGCAGATCCATGGGTGGGAGATTTAGTCACCGCAAATGCTCTTCGTTTAATGTTACGTAATGTCTCTTGGATGGAAAAGGCTCAAGTGGTATTGGATGCGGCCCATCGCACCTCAAACCTCACAGTTCCTATTGTGGTCTACGGTGTAGGCTTTGAGGCTGGGACTGGACAACTTGAACAGAAACTCTGCGATGGGAGTTGTGTGGCTGGTTTGACGTTTGCAATGGTGATGGCGTTAGTGGTGTTTTCTGTTTCTCTGATGTTGTGCGTGCGACGTCCACAACCGAAGTATTCGATGATTGATATCACATATGACTCGGAAGAGGAAATGGATAGTATAAGTGAAAGACCACCCATGAAGCGATAAATACACTCCTCTACTCTTTGTTTCTATTTGGATCAGGCAAATAACATTACTTCTCTCTCTCTCTATATATATATATATATATATAGGCATGTGGATGTGCATACGTGCTCAAAAACTCAAAGATAGTAATTGACGTGTGTTTTCTCTTTTCCTTTTTTCTTTGATGAATAGGAAAATATGGCAAAGAAAAAAAAAAAAAGTGGTGCTGTGAATTTGGTAATGATTGGAAGTGAAGAATATAGAGAGGTAGTTAGGTGATAATATTGAATAACCTAATAATACATTCTTCTTTTTTTTCACCTTTTTTTTTTTCTTTCTTGTTGCTGTAATTGCTTCGATCTTGTTTTCTCTTTCTTTCCCCCGTTTATATTATTGAAAAGAAATACTACTATTGCATTGCTCCAATATTTTATTCTATTTTTGTGTGCACGTGAATCTATATATATTACCTTAAATTCCTTTTATTTATCATGTTTAAGGTAATCATTTTTTTTCTTTTCTTTCTTGCTTTTATACGAATGAACCCCATTAATTATTTACTATTTCTCATTTATCAAGCCTATTTTTCTTTCTTTCTTTCTTTCTTTTTTTCTTTTTCTTTTTCTTTCTCTCCTTTATGGATGTGTATTCACTATCCTTACAAGAGTGTGACGGTCCTGAGAAGATGGGATGCTCCCAGAGTGAACTTCGCGGCCAGAAATCAAATCAACCACAACAACTGCAAGGAGCCTCACGAGAAGAAGAAAAAGAAAAAGAAAAAAAAGCGAATGGAGTGAATGCGAATCCCACCGAGCGGCGAGCCTCTCCGCAAGTGAAGGAGACCCGCACGCCGGCGATTCCCCCCATTCCGCCAGGCTGCTGGTATGCCCAGCCCTTCACGGAAACCACCACGATGAACCTCACGGAGTATCATATGAAACAGCGGGGCCGAGTGGTCTTTTCAAATGCGTACATTCCTGTGGGGGCGTCGGAGTTGGAGAGTCTCCCCGGCCACGCCCCACTCGTGCGGACCACGTTAAAGATTGGAACGGATCTTGTGTATGGAATGGCATACTTTCATAGTACTCCACTCTATATTGAATACTACTGGCGTTCACGAGTGGCACATTATAATAAAATGTGTAAAGAAAAAGAACAACAACAAGAAGAAAAAAAACGAGAGGAAGATGATGTACATCCTTCTACTAGTACGTTGATAGGAGATAAGGAAAATAGTCAACGGGATCTTGTGAAAACAATTTACGATCGACCATACTTTGATACTTTTGTGGCTTTTAAGGTTTATGTTGATGACAAACTTGTACCAGATCATTATCCCTCAAGCAAAAGTATTCCTAATTGTACAGCTACTATATTCACAAGTGAGGCCTTTAATAATTGGATTTGTATTCCTGTTGTTCTTATTGGTTATTTAAATAATTTTCTATTAAGTACAATTTCCTTGTATAGATATCTCTCACTCAACTTTGTCGAATACCTATTGCAGCAATCCAGTTCCTTATATGGAAATGATATTTTTGGATCTGATGAGAATACTAATACTACTAATAATAATAGTAATAGTAATAACTCTGTAGAAGAGAGTAATAATAATCAAGAGGTAAAACGAGTGTTTAAAGTACGAGTTGAAGTGGTCTACGGCTGTCGATCAGAGATGAACTTCTGTACAGATTACATCTCAAAAGGATCTGTCAATATTGTCATGACAAAAAAATCTAGAGGAGTATTAAAATCATATGAGGAAAAGCTGCGAAAGTTAATTCAACGTAGTCTTCCAGTACGTGATCAACTTATTCCAATGGATCGATTGGCTTTAGTAACCCAAGAACAGCAAGAACAACAACAACAACGATCACGAGTGTGTCTCTTCTGTAACTCTCCATTGCGTTTCACCTGCACTATTTGTGGAGCGCAGCTCTGCGGTACAACTGCCTGTGTCTGGCGGCCCTTTACGGGTTACCCGCACGGATGTTCTGTCCACAAGGCTCAGATATAAACATCTTGAGAAGGCGGTCATAAAAGTAAAAATGGAACAACAACAATAATAACAACAACAGAGAAAAAGAAAAGGGAAAAAGAGGGAGAAATAGAAGTCACAGTCTATTTGTATATACATATGTATACATATGTATTTTTATGTATGTTCCATTCTTGTTTTTTTTTTTTCTTTCTTTTATTTGTACTATTATTATTATTATTATTATTATTATTATTATTATTATTATTATTATTATTATTATTATAAGTACGATGGGGTGGTAGGGTTTTTTTTTTTTTTCGTGCTCTTTTTTTCCCCTTCTTAATATACATCGTTTTTTTTTTTGTCTTTTGTGCGTTCATTTATTTATTTTTTTTATTATTTTTCTACCTTTCTCTATTGTTCTCTACGCCTCTTATGATTCACCACCCATATGATCCTACGTGCGCTTGGGGGTTGGGATGCGTAAATGAACTGCAAAAAAAAAAATATATATATATATATATGGGGAGGGAATGAAAGAAGATCATTCATGTTGATAGAGAAATAATGAATGGTAAGAGGAAGTAGATGCAGAGTTGTAGACCTCTCATCGACAGGAAGCTTTATATATATATATCTGTATGTATATACATCTGTATATACTTGTATACATGTTCAAGATTCTCAATCTTCTTCTTGATTGCTATTGTTGAAAATTCTGTTTGCTTTTTCTCTATTCCTATATATATATATCTCTATATATATATGTCTCCTCTTCCTCCTCCTCCTTGTTTTGTTTTCTTCTGAAAAGCATGTAGAAAGACAACTATCATTACAACCCATAGCGAAAACAAATACACCAGCAATACCAATACCAACAACAACAACAACAACAAAAGTAGTAAACAGTTACTCACGAGTATCACAGTATGATGTCCAAACTATTTCGCCTGGATGGTCAGCGGCATAATAAACCCGACTGCAGTCCAGCCCATCTCGCCGATCTCCGCCGCCGCAGTGCCATTCACACTCCCCCTGTTGTCGCTATTCCAAAGTACCGCGTGCGTGGGAGTTACGTGGAGTACGTGATTGAGTGCGCCGCCCACGATCTCCGCTGGCACGTCTACCGGCGATATCAGCAATTCCGCGATCTCGACCACAGCCTGCGCCGCCTCTGCCCGCTGGGCAATCGCCACCACTGCGACTACGGCGTCTTGCCCGTTCTCTCCGGCAGTCACTGGGCGGAGGTGACGAATCAGTCCGCCGATCGAGTGGAGAGGCGGCGGCGGTATTTGGAGATTTATCTCGCGCAGCTGCTCGTCCCGCAGAATCTCTTCTACGTTGCGGGCACCGCACTCTACGCGTTTCTGCATGATGGGGCAGTGCCCGTGCGGAATAGGGGAGGCGGCGGTATTCCCCCACTGATTGGATTAAACAGTCCAGAGGCGGAGGAAGAAGGAAAAGGGGAAGTGGTAATGGTGGAGGCAAAAGATGGAAAAGAAAAAGGGGGAGAAAAGGTCAGAGTAGATGGGAAAGAAGAGACGGTTTTATATTCAGAAACTACACCATCTAAAGTACATGATAGGAGTAGAATAAACAGCAGCATTTGTACCAGTAATAGTACTATCCATAGTAGTAGAAGTAAAAGGGATGAAGTAAAGAATAAAGCAGATACTCCACTTCACACAAAAAGGGAAAGTAGTCACTCAGAGAAGAGTCTAGCAATGGCATCTGCGAGTCTTTCTTCAGCAGGACTTGGGTTAAACAGTGAAAATATGGATATTGAAGATATTCCCTCTAATGATGATACAGATGTGGAAGATGTACGTCAGCCTCCACGAGTACCCTTCTGTTTACAATGTAATGAAGAGTTTTCATCACTTCTCTATCCACATAAATGTTTTTCTTGTAAACAACGTTTTTGTCGGAATTGTTTACGCCGTGTGGAACTAGAGGATAAAGATTTTGCAAAGGCATGTCTACAATGTTATGAAAATATTTTACGACATGAAGAAAAGAAAAAAAGTGTAAAAAATTCTACTTCTTCAGCATCTATAGCCTCATCATCTAAAAGTAATAATGATATGAATAACAGAATTCCTAATGATGATACTTTACGTTTTCATAATAGTTCTGTAGTTCGTACAGATGTTTCTTTGCGTGACTTTATACTTGTTACAACGATTGGACGTGGTACATTTGGAAAAGTTATCAAAGTTATATTTCGTGAAGATGGTAAAACGTATGCGATGAAAGTATTAAATAAATGTATTATTCACAAGAGACGTATGATTGATTATATTAAAGAGGAAAAAAACATATTGACTACACTTACACCTCATCCATATGTAGTCACTTGTCATTTTGCTTTTCAAACGGATTATCATTTGTTTTTTGTACTGGATTACCTTCCGGGTGGGGAATTATATTCCTTAATGTATCCAAAATCTCAACTTTCTACTGCAGATGTTAAACTTTTCATTGCTGAGATAGTCTTAGCCTTGGAACACCTGCATCGCTTTGATATCGTACATCGAGATCTTAAACCTGAGAATATAGTCTTGGGCCCGGATGGACATGTAAAACTAACGGATTTCGGACTTGCCAGAATGAACTTTTCTCATTTACGACGACGAAGTTTTGTTGGGAGTGCGGAATACCTCGCACCAGAGACAATTCAAGGGGAATATCAAACAAAGGCATTAGATTGGTGGAGTCTTGGAGTGATGTTGTTTGAAATGCTTCAGGGGGAACCACCATTTCATGGGGCGAATAATAATGAAGTTTATGATAATATCTTAACGAAATCATTAGATCTCACGGCAGCTTGTTTTTCACCTGAAGCCGCTTCTTTAATTGAACAATTACTTCATCGTCAACCGAAACAAAGATTAAGAGATCCACAGAAGATTAAAGCACATCCTTATTTTGCTTCTATAGACTGGGAAGCATTAGAAAAAAAAGCCATTCCCGCCCCTATCCATCTTGAATTGGGTGAAAATGATACCAGATACTTTAAGCGAGAGTTTACGGCAGAGTGGGCGGTTATTGTAAAACCATTAGGTGTAAGCCGAGCCACTTTAGATGTATTAACACATCGTTTTGGTAATTTTGTTTATGTGAAGGATGAAGAGTATGCCTCTCCATCACCGTTAAATAAAATATCACAAGATGATCAAGGAAATATGTGGTTTCCTTCTTCTACTTCTACTTCTACTTTATCATCAACTATGCTGGATGCACAACATCATAGTGATTCACTAAACCCACAGAGTCTCCATGGAGTGTGGAGTCTTGTGAAGGTGGAGATGGCAACAGCGGATGGTAAAATTGCATATCCCTGGGGAAGTGAAGTATGTGGATTGCTTGCATACTTCCCAGATGGATTATTTACAATGCAACTTTCATTTACACGAAAACATCGATCACAGAAGTGGAATATTCTTCACGCCACACGGGATGAACTCGTAAATGTGTATAACTCATATGCTGCGAGTTTTGGTAAATATCAAATGAAAACTGGGAGCAACGTTGTGGTGCATTTTCCCAGTGGAAGTCTATGCCCAAGTTTTACATGGAGTTCACAAAAGTACTTTATTCAACTCTATAAAGGGAATGAAGGAGAGGGCGGTGTGGAAATGTTGAAACTCTTCACAGCGCCTTACAGACTTCGTGAAGATGATATTAAGGCGAGAACAGTACTAACATGGGAACGAGTTGCTTTATAATAGTTGTTGCCTCTTTTTTTTTAGTTAGTTAGTTAGTTTATTTATTTATTTCTTTTTTTTATATTTTTGGTTCAGCGAGTGTGTCATGTTTTATTATTATTATTATTATTATTATTATTATTATTATTATTATTATTATTATTATTATTATTATTATTATTAATTACATTTTGTTTGATTGCGTTTCGATATTGTTGAAGAGAGACGTAAGTCCATTTTTTTTTTCTTTTGCGTTTCGTACGTTTTTTTTCTCGTTTCTTTATTAGTATTACATCTTTTATTTGACCCATCCTTTCAACAAAGTTGTACCATTGCTGGTACAATAAGGTCTACTATCTTTTTAGTGTCTCAGAGAGACGAAGAGATGAATTCTTCTTTGCCTTTTAATGTTCCTAATGATTATAGTTAATATTAATATTATATTTTCTTCTTATCTATGATTCTCTTATTTATTTATTTATTTATTTTTGTTTTCTTCTTAATTGTTTTATTCATTCTCTCTGCCGTAGTAAGAGAAAGGGTTCGGTGGAATCATCTAGAAGTCTGTCTCTGTATATATAAATATATAGATAGATGCGCTCTGGGGAGTTACTGCGGTTATGGAGATCACGACGTTCATTCCTACCTGTGACTGCAGTCGCCGTGGACTCAATGCGTTGGCAGTTGACCGTCTTTGGTGTTCGGGGACATTCTAACACAATCCCAACAACAACAACAACAACAATGGGAACTCCAATAATTTCAGAGGATGATCACAAACTGGTGCCAAACACTCATATCAACAAGGGATTTGATGTTAAACTTCCCTTGAGTGCTTCTGAGGCGGAAACGGTGGAAGGCGGCAATCTTGCTTCATCCGCTATCACTAGCGAAGAAAAGGAAATAAATCCTCATACAACTCCAACTCCAACTCAATCTCAATCTCAATCTCAATATCAATCAACAACAACAGCAACAATAGGAGGAGGAGGAGGAGGAGGAGGATCTACGCGGGGATATGCTCCTTGGGAGATTCGTGCACTTCTTCTTCCTCTCATTCCCGTTGGCGGGGCCACTGTTCCTCTGCGGGATGTTGTCTGTCTGCTGCCAAAGGCGGCGGGTGAGGAGATGCGGCGTGAGGGATCTCCACTAGCATATGTGCAGCGCCACTTCTCAGATGATATCATTGTGAAGGGAACTGAACTCACTCGTCGTGCTTTAGTTATAAACAATAGTGATAATAATAATAATAATAATAATAATAATAATAATAATAATAATAATAATATTAACAGTACTAGTGCGTTTAGGGGAAATAGAAGAAGGGAAGCTGCACCACCACCCCCACCGCCTCCTATTCCAACTGCTTCTACTAATCAAACAGTCCCAAATCGTTCTTCACATCCTGGTAGTGGTTCAAGAAGTCCTTTAGAGGTTTTAGATACGTTGGTGGAATTTATTCCAACCTTCTTTGTACAACCACAAATGGTAGCTGATCTTCTACCAAGTGAAATTACAAAACAGTATGCAGATTCTTCTTTTCTTTTCTATATTAAACGATTTCGACACTATATTGATATTCGAGCCCATCATGGGAATACAGAAATACGTTTACGACCTGATTTTGCACATCCAAAACGTGGAGTAGCGGATACTCGATATACTTCAGGAATAAGTGGAAGTGATATGATGAGTCAATTAGCACGTGGAAGAAGACCTCCACGAAATTCAGAGGCGAATTTAATTCATTTCATTGTTCCTCGAATGCCAACAACTTATACACCTATCGCAACAGTTCTTCAAGATGTTTCTGATATCGTTTCACGTCATCCTTCCTTTGATCCACGGCTTGGAGTTACGGGTCTCTTTGAGAAGTATCCAGAGTATTTTCAAATTGTGGATGCAAAATTACGAGTACGTCCATTTAAAAGTGCACCCAATTCATTAGATGATTGCAATGCAAACACTTCACCTCTTCCTGTTATTTACGCTAAAATAAAATCGCTTGTAGATAAGTATGCAGAAGGGAAAGATTACAGTGTAGAGGCAGAAAGGGCAGCGGCGGTGGTCCCAACAGGGAAACTATACGCTCTTCTTAGTAATGCTGAAAAGATGGAAGTAAAGGCAAAGTGTCGATCTTTTCCACGATTTCTACGATTACATGGAGAGGAAATTGTAGTCTCAGTAGATAATATGAAAGTTTATCAATTTCGTCCCACTTATGAGAAATGTGCAGAGACTATTATGGATCAACGACTCACTATGAATTCTCTCTCACCTGATGATCCTGTACTTAAAATACCAGCATCCATGGATGATAACACTTCCGCCGATTGGGCCGTACGGGAATTATATGATGCCCTTCCTCTTATGCAATGTGCAGAATTGGATGAAGTAATGTCTTTAGTTCCACCTTCCGTTAAAAATGCACTTCCACAAGAACAAGAAAAACTTATTGAACATCTCGCACTTTACCCGGATTATTTCTCTACATGGCCTTATCCAGATGATCCCACTATTATCGTTGTACAACGGGCAAAATTAGAACCTCTTGCCTTGCAGCCAGAAGATATTGCCCGCATGGTATTGCCATTGATTCCACAGGGAGGTATAGAGGCATCGAAACTCTTGACTCGAGTGCCGCTTCCACTACAGCGTCACTTTTACAGAAATGGATTAAAGAAAGTGCTTGGTGAAATGAAGAATTACTTTTTGGTTATCGGTGATAAAGTGATGCGCGTTGGTTGAAAAAAAAAAAAAAA